TGGTTTCTCTCAGCTTAGTTCATTCCTGGGTTGTCAGGGTATATCTCCCCTTGCTTAGGACTCCTCACACTGCACCATTCCTGGATTCTAAGCTGGGTATCTCAGAGAGCCTCTGTAGCTGCTGTTATCTATCCACCATGTTCTCCCTGAACAACTCGAATTTCTACCCTCTTAAACATTCTTCCATCATTTGCATAGATAGGTACAGTGTGAGGGCCACCAATTTGACTCCCAAGAACCTGATTATAACTGCTTCTCGTTCATTCTGTTTCAGGATCTTCATAGTGCAACCATGTAATGAACACCATGACACTAGCAGAGTTTAGGTTGAAGGGCTTCATTATGAAATTTTGGATTCAAATTTTCCTCATATTCACTGACTGTTCAAGTGTGCCCAGTGACAATGCTTGCATGTTCAGGTTCTCAAACCATTTTGAAGAGCCACAGGACCCACAGGTGGGTAGACCTTAAAGCAGTTTCTTCCAACTACAGTGGCTTGCCCATTTTAAATATTGGACTCTATTGCTTGTGTATTTTTCTTATTTTTAAGATGGTCAAAAAGATCAGCAAACATGTCATGAATCACAAAACATCTCGTGTATTACAGTGCAGGATCTCAAGAGCAACTTAAACATTCCACATGCACAACATTGTCGTTGCTTTGGGAAATTTCTTATTGGGAGCCATTCTGTGTCATTGTGGCTCTGAATTTCATCCTGTACAGACACAAATGGTAAGTCACACACAGTTTCAGTGCCAACATTTCTCCTAGATGTATACATGCATGTGTACAGAATGACAAAGGCATCACAGCTTGCAATGGCACAGCTCAGTTGAGTGTCATGAAGAGAACACAAATTGATGTATCTGATCAAGAAATGGAATACTGTCATCTATCTACAGATTTCTTCTGTCTCTTCTACCCTTTAGGCTATATTTCTTTTGAAAATATTAATAAAAGTGGAACATTTGAATATAGCCTTATATCTATTTTCACTATTTAAGATATTATACCCATGTTGCCTGATTGGAACTTCATGTAAATGGACTTAGTAAGTTCTTTCATATTTGTCATTTATATGCATTTTATGAGAAATGTGAGAAATGTGTTTTTGTCATTTATTATTGATGGCACCAATTAGAAAAGCTTTATTGCTCTCTATTGCATGAATAATTATCTGAATTTTTTGACTGTTAATGAATATGAGAGTGGTTTTGAGTTTGGGACCATAGTAAGTAATGAATACAGCTATTACATAGAGAATGCAGCATGTTCTTTGAAACATGCGTGGTTCGTTTTGAGAGGACTCATGGCAATGAAAATACTGCAACAAATTTTTTATTAGTACATGTTTGTTATATGTAGGGAAAATCTTTAGTGTAAGAAACGTGTAAAACATCTTATTTCAGTTTGCATGGCTTTTCCCACTTTGAGTGGGATTTTCCCAATTTGAGTGGCTTTTCCCACTGAGAAAAAATGAAAAAAAAGAGAGAGACAGAGACAGAGGGACAGACAGAAATAGAGGCCTGAGATTTTGGGAAATGACTGAATATGTATAAAGAATTTACCCACTGAAATCATAGCATACATTTTCCAATGTTTGGGAAATAATTCAATATTAAAGTACAACAGACATCTAAAACTTCAAAGACCCACAACCAGTCAAAGACCTTTCCATAAAAAACAGTAATTGAAATTCCAGAAAGTCAACAAGAAAAGAAGATAGTAAAAACTGTTGGAGATAAACAAAAAAGGACATATATATTCCACCTATCAGAATTAGGCACATTTCTCAGAATTAGCTTTAAAAGGTTAAATTGGCTTGCAGAAATATATCAGGCAATTTAAAAAATTGCTGAAATTAAATTGTACTTCAGTACAATTCATTGTAAAGTGAATTGTACTTCTATACTATGTAAAATTAGCCTTCAAAATGGCAGAGTAGTGAGGACTTTTCATGACAAAGAAAATTTTTAGAAATACATGAGCACTAAACCAGCATTATAAAAGTATTTAAGGAAATGTATACAAAATGACAGAGGTTAACACTATAAAAAAATTCAAAGAAAGTATACATCGATCATAGAGACTACTTGAACAAATCAAAAAATTGGTTGCATATAAACAAAATGTAATGAAAATATTCTGTAAATAGCTCATAATAATAGCTCTCAATGTCCATGGTCTTAACTAGCAAATCAAAAGATATAGAATGGCATATTGATTCAAAAAACCTCATCTACATATTGTCTACAGACAAACTTAATTCAAATGAAAAATTAAAGGATGGATAACAACCAGTGCAACCAGGTCCCCAAAACAAGATAAAGTAAGTTTCTTTTTTTCAGGCACACCATAGTCAAGCTAAAACTGATAAGACAAAGGTGGCCATGGCATGCAGGTAAAAATAATAACTGAACAGAAAGAGATAACAATTATAAATCACAAATGCACAGACTTTTGGCAAAGCTTCATAAAAGAAAAATTGTTGGGCACAAAAACATAGATAAACATAGCACATTCATGTGTGAGGGACTTAAATATTCAGTTCTTATGAGTAAAAGGTATTTAAAGATATCTATACAGTGCTTCATATAAAAACATAATGTACATTTTTCTCAACACAGAAATTTTTCCAAAATAGACCATGTCTTCAGTAATATAGAATGCTTAAATAAATATAGAAATTGAAATAACCTCTTGAATGTTACTGGAACATAAAAAATGAAACTAGAAATCAACACCCAAATCAAGAACCAAAATTGTAAAAACATATGAAAATTTAAGAATATATTATTCAATAACCAATGGATCATAGAAGAATCTAAAATGTTCTTACAATCAAAGTACAATGGTATATAATAATATGAAAACTTAAGGGATGTCACAAAAGCAGTTCTAAGAAGTTCTCAGTTCTGAATGCACACAGTAAGGGAATAGTAAGGCCATGCAAATTACGAAAAGATAAAACTTGTGGTTGTAAAAACCTATAAATCCAAATTTAAAACTACTAGAAGAAAAGATTATCAAGATTGGAATGGAAAGTAATGGAATTTAGAATTTATAAAAACATTAGAAAGAGTAAATGAATTCTCAATCCTTGATTTAGTTCTTTATTGAACAAAGAAGATATGAAAACCCTAAAGAGACAATAAAATAGAGGCAACAATAAAAACTATGAACTAAAAGAATCTTTGAACTTAATGGATTCACAATAGAATTTTACCAGAATTTCAAGGAAAATCTAACATGAATGCAACTCTGTATCTTCTATGAAACCGAGAAGAGCACTGCAAAATTCATTCTGGAATCTAGTATTACCTTGAGACAGAAATCAGAGAAAGTTTTTTTTTTAAAAGCTCAGTGAACATAGATGCAAAATCCTAAAATGATACATTAGTAAGTGTACTTCAAAAAATTATTAATAAGTTCATATATCATGACCAAGGCGGCTCATCCCCGAGATGAAAGAATGGACCAATATACATAAATTAATAAGTGCAGTACAACACATAAACAGAAGGAAAGATAAGAATCAAATGTTCCTCTCAATAAGTGCAGAAAAGTCTTTGACTCAATCCAAAACCCATTCATATAAAAACTTTGATGCAAATTAGATATCAAATAATCTTAAATCAATAAAAATTATGTCAACTCACTGACAGCATCATTATAAATGGGGAAAACTGAAAGCATTTTCTCTAAAATCTGGAATTTAAAAAGTGCATTTTTAACCACTTCTATTTAATATAGTATTCAAACTTTTAATCAGAGCAATCAGGCAACAGAAAGAAATAAATGGAGTGTGAATAGGAAAGGAAGAAATCAAATCACCCATTTTTCTATTAGAATCAAGATTCTAAAAACTCCACCAGAAGACTCTTACAACTGATAAACAGTCACAACAAAGTAGCAGGATACAAAAAATATACAAAATGTAAATGTATTCCTATATTTCAACAATGAACCTACTGAGAAAGAAATCAAGAAAAAAATCGCACTAGTAGTAGCTTATGATGAAACTGAACCTAGAAATTTAACATATCCAAGGAACTGAAAGACCTCTTAGAATGAAAACTATTGTCCTCTGAAGAAAGAAACTGAAGAGGAAATTAAAGTTACATTTCACAGCTTCAATTGATTCTACCAAAAAAGCTCTCTAAAACACCTCTACCTATTTTGCAGGGGCAAGTTCCTGGTTTTCCCATGTGTTCACCAAACTTGCTATTTCCTGTCATTTGCATCTTAACCTTCTGAATGCTGTTTGATGGTATTAGCCAGAAGTTTTATTCAAATTTTTCTGTTTAATAACATTGAATATTTTGACTATACTTATTATCAGTTTGATAACTTTTGTTTTTAAATTTCAACTTCAACATTTCTCATTTTTAATTTTCTTATGTAATGTGTAAGAGCTCTTCATTTTGATTGTGTTTCTCTCTGTGTTTCTTCCATCTCTCCTTGTATATGTCTTTCTCCTTTTGTCTTTTATTTCTCTTTGGATACAACTATGCAAGCTTTTAATGAAAATAATTTTTAATTTGAATATAATTTGCCATTTTTCCATAAGACTAATATGTTTTATAAACAATAATTTCTTTTTCTTAGACCACAGAGAGAATATTTGCTATTGTATGTGATTATTATTATATTTACAGTTGAAATTTCTTCAGAATTGATTTACAGTAGGAGGTCAGTAATGATTGTGGCTTTTCTTTTTATAATATGACTAACATACACTTCAGGTTCTACTTGAAAATATTGTTTTCTTTCTGTTTGTTCTCACATGTAACTTCTGCCCCAGGTTCACGCCATCTCATACATACTGTTGCATTATGCTGAAACAGCCTGATAATTCTCTTCAGCTTCCCTTTTGTCATGAAACCTTTGCAATTCCGTAGGAGCTCATCTGCAAAATTACATTTTTTGTTGAATTTCTACAATATACCTTGCTCAGAAAAATACTTGTCACAATAATTTAAAGGAAACTTTAGAAAAAATGACAAAAATAGAACCTGTTTCTTTGGTAATAGGAGTAATATTATTGTCACAGACTATGGTTGGAGTTATGGGAAATTTTTTTCTTCTTTACCATTATCTTTTCATTTACCACACAAAAAGCAAGTTGAGATGCATAGAGTTGATTCTCAAGCACATCCTCATAGCCAACTCCTTACTGATTCTTTCTACAGGACTGCCTCAGACAATGGTAGCCTTTGGACTGAAAAATTCTCTCAATGACTTTGTCTGCAAAATTATCTTTTATGTTGAGAGAGTGGGCAGGGGCATGTCAATTGGAACCATCTGCCTCTTGAGTATTTTCCAAACTGTCACAATCAGCCCCATGAATGCCTGCTGCAAAGACCTTAAAATTAAAGCTCCAAAGTATGTAGAATTTTCCATATATCTCTGCTGGTTTGTGCACATGGTGGTAAATTTCATTTTTCCTCTCTATCTGTTATATGTCTCGGGAAGATTGTCTAGCAAAAACATCACAAAGGAAAGAAAAATAAGATTTTGTACTCACACAGATCTTGGGACAATCCTAGGCCCAATCTATGTAGTGTTAGTAGCATTCCCTGAAGTTGCTTGCTCTGTTCTCATGATCTCTGCAAGCAGCTATATGATTTTTACTCTGTATCAACACAAGCAGAGGGTCCAACACATTCACAGGACCAATGTCTTCTTCAGATCCCCTGAGTCCAGAGCCACCAAAAGCATCCTCCTTCTGGTGGGCACTTTTGTATCTTTTTACAGCCTGTCCTCCCTCTTTAACATTTCTATCGCTCTTTTTCCTCAGGCATATGGGAGGCTGGTAATAATTTCTGATATAGTTTCTGTGTGTTTTCCAACTATATCTCCCTTTCTGTTAATCAGCCAGGACTCTTCTATATCCAGGCCCTGCCTTATCTGGATAAGGAATGCACTCTCCATTTACAAGAAATAAATAAATTGTGTATTTTGGGGTAGTACTTTCTACATTCATTTCTAATTCTAAGGGGCAACATAGAGATGCACGGGGAAGCCTCAAATCTCTCTGAGGTAGACTGATAGGTGTCTTGGGTCAAAGAATGCAGGGCTTGTGTGGGATAAAAGGGTGGGTAAATGCGATTGGTCCAACTCTGGAGCATTGTCCTATTCCTATCACTGTGAACTGAGTATTAATTTAGACAAATGTGAATTTTGTTCCAGAAATTATGTTGATAATCAAAATATTTCACAAAATTCCTTGTTGAAGGAAAAATTTATGATTCAATACAGTAAAGCAATAGGTGGTGAACCCTGTTTTGTAACAATTGTCTCCAAGTTCTCTGTATCTTCTGGGCAGATTTATATGCTGTTTTTACCATGTACCTGATTTTTATGGTTATTTGTAGTAGTAGAGACAGTTGGATATCATACAGTGTGCCAGTGTCCAAAACAGAAATCATGTTCACGTACTCTGTAGGTAATTAAGACCAAAGCAATGTAAGAGCAGCACCCAGTAAGAGAAGAGTATTGGTTGTCCATGGAAAATGTGCCTCTGAAATCTTCAGACCTTATCCAACATCAGTAGAAGATAGATCTTATGAAACACTTTCTTATAAAAACAGTGCAGAGACTGGGGCTGTAGATAAGTGATACAATGCTTGCCTATATATGTGATTCTCTGGGAGTCTCATTGATGAAAAAAATCTATGATTTTTGTCCATTTTCTTCACTGCTGGAGGTCAAACCATGGGGCTCATTTTGTTATATGCAAATGTTCTAGCAGTGAGCCATATTCTTAAACCCTGCCAAATATACAATATTTTTAAACCAGAGAAAACAATGCAAGGTATATTTGATCCTAACTCTTTTCTTCTGTAACATACAGTAATAAAATATTCTTTTCCATAACTGCTGCTTGCAAACTTTAAGAGGAAAGCAATTGACATAAACATAATAGGACAAAGGTCTTCAGTAGATGACAATTGGTCTTTATAGGATGACAATTAGTTTTTATGCTAAGTGCATCATGTACAATGGAGTTTGAGTTGTAAAAATGCATTTTTGTTTCAGAAATAATTTCAGCTACACAATTTCTGCAACAAAGTAGGAAAGAAACATGATGGCATCCTAATCTTTCTCATAAGCATGAAGGCAAGACATAAATGATAGCAAGAATTCTGTGAATTTACCATTTCTCATGTACGGTGTTGTGGACAGATAAATTATCCCTAAGAAAATGAAGCTTAGTTTCCTATTTAAAAAAAATTCAAAGAAAAGAAAAAAACAATAAAAGGGTACAAGTAATACAGAATTTCAATTAAACAGTAATAAATCACTAGTTAATAGATTACATATTGTCATCTTAGAAGTAGTTGTTCAAGTTACAAAATTAAAGCCTATAAAGTTGGCATTCAAACAGTGAGACTGTGAACCAGTTGTGTTCAATGATCCTACAACAACTTAGTAATATGGTCATCTATCTTACACACCTAAACACACTTGCACTTGTATGCATTAGAGCACTTTCCTGTCCTCTCTTTTTTACAATAACAATTACACATTCTGGGTTTTATTACTCCCACAGTTCTTACTACTTTTTTCTGAAAGAGAATAAAACCAAATGTGACAAAACAAAACAGTCAGTCAAAACAAAGGATGGACATAGTACATGATGTAAAAACAGAATACAAGGTAATCAACAGTGGTTACCATAATGCCTCTTGCTACATTAAAAATAATTGCCTATATTATCAGGTATAATAAAATTGAACTAAACAGTACAGAACAAAACCAATAAAACTTAAACATTGGGGACATTACCGGACTTCAAAAGAAGATAATAGTCAAACCAGAATGGGCATCATAGTGAATCTTACTGCTTTCAAAGTAGTTGCCTATACTCTCAAACTTCATACTATCAAACAGAATAGAATAGAGTAAAATCAGTCCAAACAAGATGGTGAGAGGAATACAGGGCTTCAAATCAAGTTAATAGCGAATCAAAAAATTACTGTAATATATCCTGTTAATTTTAAAAAAAATTTTCCCTTAATTAAAAAAATAAAAAAAAATTAAATAAATTTTTAAAAAGGGGAGATTGAGATAAAAAGGACATAACAACATAACAATACAGTTCAGAACAGAACAACTTAAGCAACATAGTGTTTCACCACAAGCTAACCCGACTTAACAGTAGTTACTATAGTGTCTTTTTCCATGAAATATTTGAATATAACTTCGTATAATATAGCATCAAACATATCAAGACAGTGTGAAACCATTCAAGAGGATGAAAGTATTACAAGATATTTAGAACCAGCTAACAGAAAATGAACAATGGTTTCTACATTATATCTTTGCCTATAAAAATTTGGTTTATAAAATCACGTATAATAAAATCCAATAAGATACAACATGATAAAACTGATAGAGACAGAAGAAGAAGAGCTTGATTTGACTTCAAAACAAGATGATATTAAATCAGCACTAGCTATTATAATGTCTGGTTTTCTTCAAAACAGCTGTTCATACCATCACAGACAATAAAATCAAACAGCCCAGAATAAAACCATTCCAATTAATGAGTGAAATGAGGCTTCAAAGCAATATAATAGGGAATCATGATTACTACATACTTTTCTGTATTTATATCATTTCTTACACTAGGGAAACTATTCAATATATATATACATGTGAGTTTGATTTATTTCACTTACAAGTATGGTCTCAAGCTGCATGCATTTATTAATAAATATCTCAATGAGATCCTTCTTTATAGCTGAGTAGTATGCCATTATATAAAAATACCACAACTTTTTTATCCATTCCTCAGGTGATAGATACTTAGGTTGTTTCCAGGATCTGGCTATCACAAAATGTGCTGCTATAAACATGGGTGCAGATATATCACTGTGGTAAGATGCTTTCAGTTCTTCTGACAATCTGCCTAGAAGTGGAATAGTTGGGACAAATTGGACTTCCAATCCCAGCTTTTTGAGAAATATCCAGATGACCTCCACAATGGTTACAACACCAGTCTACAACCCCACCAAAAGTGCAGGAGAGTTCCTTTTTCCCCACAGCCTCTGCAGCATTTGTTGTTGGTGGTTTTCTTGATCCTTGCCGTTCTTTCAGGAGTGAGGTGGAATCTCAGTGTGGTTTTAATTTGCATTTCTCTAATGAGTAATGATGATGAACATTTTTTCATGTATTTATTTGCTGCTTGTATTTCTTCATCTGAGAAGTGTGTATTTACCTCAGATGCCCATTTTTGGATTGGATCGTTGAATTTTGGGGGTCTGATTTTTTAAAATTCTTTATATGTTTTAAACATAAGTCCATTGTCTAAGGGACAGTTCACTAAGATTTTTTCACAGTTTCTGGGTATTCTTTTCACTATGCTGAGATTTCTTTTGATGTACACATACTTTTAATAAGACATCATCCCAGTTATTGATTCTGGGAAGTATTTCCCATGCAGATTGAGTCCGTTCATGAAATTGCTACCTACCTCTATCTCTTCAAGGTTTTTGCCCAATTTGTCTTCCAATAGATTTAGTGTTTCTGTTTTAATATTCAGATCTTTGATCCATTTAGATTTTAATTTAGAACATGATGATAGGCATGGGTCTAGTTTTAGTTTTCGGCATATGGAGAGCCAGTTTTTCTAGCACCATTTATTAAAGAGACTGTTATACTTACAGTGAATCTGTTTTGGCCCCTTTAGCAAAGATAAGGTGATGGAGTGTGTTTGTAGTTGTGGTTATATCTTCCAATCTATTCCATTGATCTTCAGCTCTGTTTTGATTCCAGTACCATGTTGATTTTACTACAGTTGCTTTGTAGTATAACTTCAAGTCAAGGATTTTGATGCATCCTGCCTTGCCTTTGCTGCTTAGAACTGTCTCTGCTATTCTAGGTCTCTTCTTGCTCCAGATGAATTTGAGGAGTGATTTCTCTAGATCTGTGAGGTATATTGATGGTATTTTTTATTGAGATTGCATTGAATCTGTATAACAGTTTTGGGAGAATGGCCATTTTCACAATGTTTGTTCTTCCTATCCATGACCAAGGGATGTCTTTCCACTTTCTGAGATCCTCTACAGTTTCTTTTTTCAGTGTATTATAATTTTCCCTGAATGGGTCTTTCAGTTCTTTCATGGGAGTAGTTCTTACATGTTTCATTTTTTGGGTTGCTAGTGTCAAGAGTATGGCTTCTCTTATTTCCCTGTCAGTGATTTTACTGTTAGTGTATAGGAATGCTATTGATTTTTGAGTATTGATTTTGTATCCAGCAACATTACTGAATTTATTTATTATATCTAAGAGTTTTTTAATGGAGTTTTGGGTGCTTTCTATGTAGACTATCCTGTCATCTTCAAACAATGATAATTTAACTTCTTCTTTTCCTATCTTTACCCCTTTTATTTCTCTCTATAGTCTAATTGCTCTGGCTAGTATTTCCAGTACCATATTAAATAGGAGTGGTGATAAGGGACATCCTTGGCTTGTGCCTGATTTTAAAGTAAAGGCCTTCAATTTTTTGCTATTTAATATGATACCGTTGGTTTGTCATAGATGGCCTTTATTATGTTGAGGAAAAGACCATCTATTTCAATTTTCTGTAAAGTTCTTATCACGATGGAATGTTGGAAATTATCAAAAGGTTTTTTTGCGTCTATAGAAATGATCATGTGATTCTGAGTTTTGGCTTTATTGATATGGTTGATTACATTTATTGATTTACGTAAGTTGAACTATCCCTGCATGCCTGGGATGAATCCCACTTGGTCATGGTGTATAACCTTCTTGATGATTTGCTGCATCCTATTGGCCAGGATTTTATGAGGATTTTTGCATCTGTGTTCATTAGGGAGATTGGTCTATCGTTCTGTTTTTTAATTGGGTCTTTCTCAGGTTTTGGTACTAGAGTAATATTTGCTTCTAGGAATGACTTAGGAAGGATTGCTTCCCTTT